ACATGCCTTATTTTCACGACGCCTAAACCGGCTGTTTCCTCCTTCCTACTCCCCATGCTCTTTTCTCCTGGTCGCTGGTAGAAGTCGCTGGATCGATATCTATACTTTCCTAGTCCCTGAGACGCTAGTGGTCGCCGGTGGACGCTGTGGACGTGATAGGTACGTGATTTCGGAAGATAAAACGCTTGAATACTTCAAGACAAAACGCGATCGTTGTACGTTGCAATTTATGCATTCAGTTGGATGGAGGAGCTTCAGAAGTTCAACAGTACTATCTTCCCAGATCATTTTCTGTATCCCATTTATTACTATGGTTTCACTCAAAAGTGTCACTGTGGCTGCAAAGTTCTCCAAAGGCCATCAAGCTCCCTCCTAAAGGCACACAGTTAGTTTAATCAGCTGCCTGAGCCTGGTCTTTCAATCCCCAGACGTGTGAGATTAAAGACAGCTCCCGCGATAAAAGTCTCATGGATAGCTGCTTTCCAATGAAACAGCAGCTGATAAGTAATCTCCCAAAGAAGAAAACAGGCAAGAAGCGTCCTCCAGAACAACATAAACAAAATCGCTCCCTCACAGTCACACCTCCCTGCGGTCTCTGTGCAACCCCTAGCTCACAAATCTCTCTATCACATCTCGCAGTAGTTGATATCATCCAGTGCAAAAAAGAATACAAAAAAAACAACAAAAACGCAGAGGAAAAACTCTTGAAAGGAAAAAGGAAATTTGCAATCGCTGTGTTCTGAATTTGGGATTACGGTAGCGCACGTTGTGCGTCCGAGGTTTTGCATCACGAAAATGCGTCACTCGTGCTTTTTAAGCGTTTCACCTCGCGAAATGAGTTGAATTGAATGTATATACCTCCAATGAGTAAACCCTCAATAAAGGGGCAGCGAAGTTACCATGGCGCATCACAATGGCCGCTCGCCCCAACTAAGAAAAACTGAATGGCCGCGGAGGACATCCAGCAAGTAAGGCAGCGCCAATCTGGCAGGCGTTAACACTAGAAAGATACTTACAGCGCTGTAGCTCGCTTCTCGCTCGCTGTGCAGGCGAATAGAGTGGGACAGTCTCTAGCTTGGGGGCTGTACTACTTGCACAAGGAAGGACGACCATGTACTACTCGAGTTCGCGCTTTTGCAGTCAGAAGCGTGGGTCTTTTCCAAGAAAGGTTCCCTTATAGCTCCCTATTAATTGCTGCTCGTTTCGCTTCATTTGCGAAGTACAATATGAAGCGACGGGATGATATGATGCGGCTGCGGTGCTGCATGGACATACAAGCCGTATCTACCGTGGTATTGAGCACGACTGCTAACGGAAACTCGTCTCAAAATTGCCCTTCTAATTCGTGTAAAAACAAAGGCTTTTGCAAGGTTTTTGACCCTTACAGCATATTCGCCATTTGCTTGCTACACTGCACCCTTGCTACCATTTTGGACTGAGTAACAAGTTATTGTGCCCTCAGTTCTGCAGTATTTGGCCACTCTACCTCCGTTGGCGAAGGGCTGAGTATGTAGGCTACAAATGGCGAAGAGTAGCGCTTTAATTGGCGGCGAGTATGTAGGCTACAATGGGCGAGAGTAGCGCTATAGTTGCAGGCCGATATTTGGCAGCTGATTTGTTTAAATTCTTTATTTATTGCCATTCTATCCGAATCATTTGCTTGCTTGGGTGCTTGTATGACTAAATTTAGCCAACTAAATTTAACTAGTCAATTAAATAACAAACCTTTAACCAATTGAGACCAGCATGTTGACGCGAAAAAGTGCCCTTTACTTCAATCTTTCACGCTGGTATTTTTTTTTCATCCAGAATATTTGCAAGAGTCATTACCTGATTCATTTTTCAGTTTCTCACTATGGAACACTATGATGGGAGTATCACTGTTGAGCATGCCATGGGCTCTCTATCAGGTATGAACTCATCAATTTTTTTTTCTGTAAAAAAAGTGTCCAGGTAAGTTCATTTGATTCAGTAGATTTGCAATTGAGAACTGGTTTTTCTGGTACTGGCGCCATTAAACTCTAATTTAGATCCTTTTCCCCATGATTCAATGTACAGTTATGGTCTGACTCGAATTACATCCTTGAAAGAGCAATGAACCGCGCCTCGTCGTAAAAACAGCAAAGATGGGGCCGATGGCCCGGGATCGCTGGTCTTATCAAATGAATTATTTCCCAAATATCAGGATTCTTGGGCCACGTAACCTCACCAGGTACGTCGAGGAGAGCACAACTTGTAGCAAATTGGCGTTTCTCACTCATGAACAAGTACAGCCAGCGAATCCCAGACGAATCAACCCCTGGGGAATGGAGGGCCGGCTTCAATTTGCTGGGTCACTTATTTGTAGCGCTCGTCTTATACCTGTAAGCTGACTGGCCTCCGCAATTCACTAGCTAGGCCAAATCGTATTCAGGATGTCACCATGACTCTGAATGGAAATAGAATGTGTGGCGTTTCCTAACAACTGTTCAACATTAAGTCTATCCTTCATCGTCTGTCTCCACCCTCTTCATACATAGCCCCGAATGCTCCATTTTACAGCTTCACAGTGCTGGGAAAGTGGCTGCACCATAGAGCGCTCACGTTATAGCCGATGTCGTGAAGTCGCTAGGAATCGCTGGACATTGCTAGGAATGTGGGAGAACATACTACCAGCGGGTCCTCATTAGATTTAAGCAGGGGCAACGTCCCTAGAACACTCAACGACCTGTTGTCAGGTGAAAACGAAGATGAAAAGTCCCCCCCACCCCCCCCCCCGAGGAGGGTCATTTATTTGATACGAGGAATGTACCTGCAGCTGCAGTGTTGTGCCACTCTCTCCGCACAAAAATGCCGGAAACTGGACTGGAGTGCAGTAATACTCGGGTGCCCTTATTGGGCCCCACCCGCGATATCCATAATGAGCAGCACTTGATCGATACCAAGATTCCGCGAAACACCCACTTAACGATGGATTGCAATCAGAGTCAGGACTAACGTCCTTGGAAAATCCCCAGCTGGGTTCGCATGTATTCACTGGGCGGAGGGGGTGGGGATCGTATTTGCTCGTCGTTGGGTGAGCGGAAGAGTCACCATTCGTCTGAGAAATTTGCCATTGTTGTGAAAAAACTTCCTTCCGGTTGCTTCGACTTTATTTTTAGTTTCGCGGCTCGACAGCTCGATCAGAGCAGGGTAGTAGGGGATGGTCGTATCGAGTCATCTTTCAGGCGAGGGGTGTTCATACCGTCCCCAACTAATGCTGTGTCCTGCTCTTCCAGCTCGACGATAAATTATTGCAAACAAAATATTCTCCCTGGGAAATTTCGAAAAAAGTGTAGGAGGAAGGGGGAGTGGTCGTAGCAGATCGCGTATGGGGGAGTTTGGGTAATCGTTGTTTCCCGAGAGCAATTCCCTCGGCTGCAGAAGTGTTCGTCAAGAGTGCGCAGACAAGTAGCGCGTTCGGCTAACGTGTTCTGTTCAAGAGTGCGCAGACAAGTAGCGCGTTCGGCTTGGTTAGCCGCTTGCAGGCAGCACGGCAACGCGGGCAGAGTATGAAGACGGTACCCGAGCATCACTACCCTCAGTTCCCGTTTCCGTGCCTTTTTGTCAGTAGAAAGTGACACGTTACTGCAGACGCGGACCCTTTTACCTCTCACATGACAAAGACCAGGAGGTGTGTGTACAGTTTTTCTGAACGGGTTTTACTAAACATGGGCTCTGATTTGTCTAGAGCGAATGGAGAGCAGTAGACGGAAGGATTATGTGGCCCTGAGTGGAGTAGTGACAAATGACTCTATTCGCTACGCGCAAGGTCTGGTGATGCAAATTCTTGCATGGACACTTTTGCTAGACCGTAAGCGTTTCATCAAATATTGCACGCGGCGACCTATAGCGGAAGTGAAGCGTGGCGCATCCAATAAGTCTTTGATCTTAACAGCTTTATCCCTTACCTCTCGATCTTGAGTCCTCAATACTTTTCGGCTACTGTTTGAATTCACTTTTCCACGAACAAACCATCGAGGTTTCCCCCAGTATCAGAATAACGTGCATGATGGCACCACCATTAGGCAACTGCATGCCAAAATCATGCTGTCCCTTCTAGCAGTAAAAAATGATTTCTGACCTCTTATCAGCGCTACTTGTTCTTAGCTGCTCTTTTCAAAGCAAATGAAGGAGCTGGAACTCATGATATTGCTTTGAACAACACGTTTGGGGAACACCTCAAGCAGTCCATCAATTAGACAAGCACTGCGCGGCAACTCGAAGTACTACTGAACTATATGCCTGTTGAGAGATCTATTTAATCCATGTACAGGTCAGCGTAGTTGCCTGGAAGAAAGCCGAACCATAGAGGCAAGCTGTGCCCTCCCTCGGGTTCTAGCCGATTGGCCATAATGCGAACTTAATGAGTCCGCCACTGCTGCCGTGTACCGTTTTCTTCGGTCAGAAGTGCAGGAGAACGAGGGGCTTGAGGGCAGTGGTACCGAGTGCCGCCTCCACCCACCGCTCTGGTTAAATGTGCGGCCTGCCACACGGCTTACTATAGCCAAACGCACTGCTTGCCTGCGCCTCAAAATTCTCTTGTTCTCTATCGCTGAGTGCATTTTTCAGTGCGGGGGGATATTGGTACGGCGCAAGTGGTGCGATGAGAGATAGCGCACAGTGAACGTATGGGCGCGAGACGACACCCGGGTATAACTACCCTGCGAAAGCGGTTCCCACGCACTTTTGATCATCGAAAGTGGCGCTTTGCTGCTGCTGTGGACCCATTCGCCTCGCATGTGGCAAGGGCTACCTTGAAGGAGACTGTATGGTCTCGGAGATTTGCCCTTCGTTATACCATGGAGTCAGAGAAGGCCCTGAGGCGACCTTTGGTTTCAACAGTCATCTCTGTGAAGTGTACTCGAAGTAGAACAATTACCAGTGAATGTCTCGTTTCGTTGGAAACACGCTATATGGAGGAGAAAACGGAGTAATCTTTTCAGGCTGGATTTGTTCTTGGGTTATTAATACTTCTTTTGATGTGTTTCTTGTGCCTTTATACAGCATACCTTGTCGTGAAGAGCGCTGAAGGCTTAGGTGGGGCCTTTTATCTTAACAAATGACTTTTTGATAGATAAGCTTGAATTTAAACATATTCCATATAATCGTGTCAGAATTGCTTCCATTGATAAAATTCCTGCTCGTTCTTGCCTTATCGCAGTTGATCGCAGGTCTGCCATATCACGCTGTACCTATCAAGCGGTGGGCGGAGACACTTTTTTTAAGCAGGCCCCTGCATACCAACGGAATCGGGGCGGCCGATGAACCACTGAGACGCTGATGACGATGCTCTGGGAACCACTATGCGAGACAAGGGACATCGTCATTATCATCAATAAACAGGGGTCATACTTGTTGTTGAGAGGGGGGTAGGTTCGTATCGATGTGGTCGTGTCTGGCCTGGGCAGAAGTGTTTCGATACGTCAAGAAGCGACATTACGTCCCCCCTCCACTCTCCCTCCCCGCCATAATGTGGCGCCGCTCACAAAAGATCAAACTAGCAGTGACTGGTGACCTCCCCCTCCACCCTCTTCGCCCACCTCCCCCTTCCTTCCTGATCGACAGCAGATCCTCGAGAATACCTTGAAAATATTAGGGGATTTGATAAAAGAAGAAAGCTGAAAGCATACAAGATGATGGTAGTTAGGTTGGGGAAAGAGGTCATGCGAGAGGAAGAAATTGGGGGGAGGGGCCGTATTTGCACCGTCGTTTCAGTTGTTACTATGCCGCACCCTGATTCGGGACCAAATGACGCAAAGCATGGAAGACTTGAAAAGTAAATCAAGCAACATCCTTCCCGAAGACAACGCGGGTATGAGCTCCCTCGACATAAAATAAGATAGTCGAAAAGTACATACCTTGTCACTGGAGGAATTTCAAGCTCTGAAACCATCCACAAATATATAACAATACCCCTCTGCAAAAACCTCAAAGCCTAGAATAATCAGGCGCGAAGTGAATTTTCAAATAGAATTTTTTTTGGATTTCTTGTAGAGCTTGTTGTAAGTGTTGCAGGTCTTTTTCCCGCCTGATATAATTGACACCATGATGATTGAAAACTGGAGAAAACTTATGACCCCCGACCACCTTTTCAGGACATTCTTCGATAATCAAGATATCAATAAACCTAGGATTATTCTGTTCAGTCGCTTCAACTCAGATCTGGTTATTCTATGATTTAAGGAAAAGCAGACATCGTTGATGTGGAATTTTCCAAAATCTGCCACATATATCTTGGACGACCCGGAGCCGTTACAGCGCTCGTGTTCTCAATTATTATTCTTGTCGGCGCCGTTCTCGCCTATTTTGTATTGATGTCAAATTTCATCTATTTTAGTGGAACGTTGCTGTATGGTAAGTATCCAGTTTTTAAGGGGTGAGGTGGTAAAGGGGTAAAGATCAGGAAAGGAGCAAATGAAGAGGGTACACACTTTCACGTGAAATTTCTATTTCAAGTTTACGATTACTGAAAAACAGAGTAGTAACGGTTATCAGGGAACGAACGCGTGATTTCGATGAATTGGTGAAAACACACATAAGCCATGATAATGGGCACCTAATGCGCTTAATTACTGGAGACAATACATAAAGGGCAAATGGTTTCAAAACGGGTTGTAAGAAGGAGAAGCACTCCTTGAAACGGGGAGTAGAAGAACATTTTATTCGTATTCATTAATAAAGTAAGCTATCGGGAGCTGAACTCATCCTGTATGATTCAAAACGATTTCGTAAGAACGTTTAGAGGCATGTGGCATCTCATAAATCCCCAAGCGTGTAGGATTAACACCCCTAGCATACAGATTTCGTCGCTTATGAGCAGGTGCTGCGTGGCACCTTCCCCTGGAAGTACTCCCATGAAGCTGCAACATACTGACCCGGACACCCACTGCGCACGCCAGCCCACAAATGTGCAACTGATGCTGATGCTCGTATTGCTTCATTTGCGAAGTACGGTATGAAGTAAAGTGGTGGATATGAAGAGGCCGCGGTGCGAATATGCTAGTACATATACATAGCCGTATCCACACTAGCGGTGACTGGCGCGATGCCAACGGGATACTTGTCCAGAACTGCTTTCTGAGTCAAACAGAACAAAGGTTCTTTTCAGGTTTCCGGCAGTTCGCTTCACTTTTTCGCATTTTTCCCGCTATATAGCACCCCTGTAACCATTTTAGACCGGGTACTAAATATCCCTTATGCCTTGGAGGCCTAATTGAGCAAATTTCTTCTGTGGGTCGGGAATATCTCGCAACTGAGTCATATGGCGAAGGAAGACGTAGGAGGAGCAGATTGGGCGACATGTTGATGCCACTCGGCCCGCTCCTTGGGAACAGTTCAGAAGTTCAAAGCCAATAAGTGGTCGCATAACACTAAAACACTGATTTAATTTGTAACTTTTCAGAGATTGTGCATCCAATCAATCAAACTAGTAGTATTCAAGAGGAGGGGAAATGTAGTAGTAAGTTGTTCCGAGTGCTTTGAATTATCAACTTTTGGACCTTTTTGCATTGGTAAGTCGACGCTCTAGAAATATAGCTATGACGTGAGAATTTCAGTCTACTGTCATGTAAATAACACGTTCGGATCTCACTCATCGGAAATCAACGATCCACCACTTATCTTCGGCCTAAAATTCGATGACATTTGGCAGTTACAGGTTAGTGATCCTTACTGTTGAATAACGTTGACTCATGTTGCCTACTTCGCTTGTGGGCTTGAAGAACACCAAAACGTAAGAAGCACCATCAAGAAGTATGTAAATTAGTCAATAGCCTCCCTCCGCCGGCGAGCAGGCGAATCGTCACGTATCCACCCTTCTCGCTAGATGCAACAGTTAGTTCCGGGAGGGGGGGGGGGTTCGTACCGTGGCCTCGTTTCGGAAGGGCGGGGTCGTACTGACACCACTATTCCACACATCACAATGCTGTACCCGTTGGTATATATTCCATTTTCACTTTGGATTTATCACTCTTCAACCAAAATAACCACTTTCCAAACCGAAACCACCAATCTTCAGATCGAATTCACAACATTTTTTAGACAACTGAATTAAATCTTGCAAATCTCGCAAGCCCCGCCCCGACAGCGCGCCTACTTTATGCGATCACCAGTCGGATCGCCCGGCTGACGCCGAGCTCTCCTCCTTCTTTTTAGCTCGGCTTCGCCGAGCTGGCCTGGCTTCGCCAGGCGCGCATAATTTGAACGCAACTTTCTCCACTATGTGTTGTATGGGCTTTATGGCGCGGACCACACCCCTGCTGCAAATATAAGTGTATGGTATTCATTCACGGCACCTATCCCCGATCTAAGCTCAGCCATCCCCCACTCAGCCACCCTAAGGGTCACGTGCAGCTGCTACGTGAATAGCCCGTGCAAAGACTCTGAGTACACTAAATGGTTGTGTTATATTGTGAAGGGTGTTATGACTATCGAAATTATGACTATCAAAACGCTACCACAATTTGATAATGCAATATTACTCGGTTCATTTCCGAAGGCGGTCTGTTTCTTC